AAAAGTTATAAAAATTAGAGAAGGATATATGTTGAGCAGCGTAAAGCTACTTTCTACGTGACACGAAAAGAGAGGTTATTGAAAATTCTAGGTATGATACCTCATGCCACAGGATTGATGTATAATACTTCAAGACCTCTCCAAAACCAAAGAATCAAATGGAATTGCTCTGATCAACCACTCATATCTCACTCCTAAAATCTTGTGGTCGTGCTTAGTGATCGTTGAGTGGGTCGTCCCACACGTCAATATGTAGGGACTTACTCCATATGCAAGTACGCTAATTTCGATTGCTAGAACTAACCTTGGATTCCACTGATTTCAGCGTCCAGGTCTTAACTTTGGCACAGTCCCAAAACAAAATTGCAGTGCAACAATATTTTGAGTCAAAGTTGTTGATTTGAAGGAGTGGTGGTGGTGGTAAATGAGATGGAGTGATGGAGTGATGGAGCCCTCGGACGAGCCAATAATTTATGAACCCAAAAAGGTCCCACTCAACACTTTGATGCAGCTGATGATATGAAGCAAGTGGGAACTACTTCATAATACCATACCAAACCAGAGCCACCACATTCTTCAATTCCCCTTTTCCTTTCAGTTTCTGACCTTCCCTCATTTTTCTAACTATTGTTTCTTTCCAAAATGTGACCTTCTCTAACATCTCCCTCTAGCACCCAAAAAGGATAACATAAATATGTTATGATGGTATGTATTTTACTACTAAAATATGTAGCTCGATGAGCATTTGACACATATGGGTAGTGTTATTTATTTGGGAAAAAAAAATGATCACAAGTATCTTTAACAAAGAAGGTTAAATTATATGTATCAAATACTTATCGGGTTACATGCCTTGGCAACATAAAATTTATGCTGCCAAGACACGAGGGAACATATTCTTAACAATATGAGAATGAGGTTTACAATTTGTTTTTCAATATTAATACAATTTGAATATCACTTCAATATATTGTATTTGAGAGATACGAATATATAAGAGCTCTCAAAATTTTTGTATATGTTAATTCATTTCTACTAGGTTTTAAATATATTGAATTAATTTTAATAATAAAAATTTATGGAGGACAAATTAGTACTTAGGCAATGGAAATCAAGTATCCTAATTTTTATCATTTGAATATTTTGAAATGATGATTGAATTTTTATATTGGGAGTACATATTAACTTTTCAATACCCAAATTCTTTTACATATATTATGATTAATTTAATGGCACAGTTATAAAATATGGTGATTGGTTAGACTTAGGCATCTCTCTCTCCTTATTTTTTTTTTTCTCTAAAAAAGAAAGAACTCCCACCTACCCTATAATATTAAAATGAATAAATTTAGATATAATAAGGTCATAAGCATGTGATTATGTCCTATACATTGTCATGAGCTTAAGCATCTTTGAATGGATAAAGGAATTTTGGAAATCACCCCACCTGATAAAACTGCATAAATATTTGAGTCTGTGTCCAATTTGTTTAAACTAAATCATATAGTAAAAAGAATCACATTTAATTAAGAGATATAGATAATCTTGGTTTAGAAACAGTAAATTAAAGTTGTGTTTGGGGGGGTGGGAGTTTAATTTATTTGTAGGGGCTGTGATTCCTGTTGTACTGTTTTTATTACAAAGTGGATAAGTGCTAAATTTTTGAAGATTCATGTTGTCTCCTTAGCTATGCCCTTTACCCTGAAATTGACACCCACTCTGTGATTTCACTGTTTTGGGACTGTTCAACAAATCACTTTCAACAAACTGTGTATCTAAAATCTTTTCAAAATTATTGCAACTTTTTCTTTTTCTTCGTTCCTATGGTTCAACTTCAATCCATGGTCAATTAAAGATACACTTCCAAACATACCACCACTCTATTTTTCACTTTATTCATGAATATGCCATTTATACATATTATAGTGTGTTTGGTGGGTAATTTAAAAACAAACAGTCAATGAAAAATAGAGTTGTGTTTCTTATTTTCACTGTTTTTTGGGTTGAAGTAGCATATTTAAAATATTTCACTCGTTGACTATATGATAAGAGAAGACTTTATTATGGTATGAAAGATGATTAAATGATCAGGCTAAATAATACTACACGATGTATCTACCTTAAAAGGAGCAATATATGTGTGTGTGAGAAGAAATAATTAAAAAATAGGTTGGAATTACCAACTTGAACCTAGCTCAATTTGTTAGGGCACTTATCTATAACCAAAATTTCGTAAATTCAAACTCGCAATTTTTTGGTCAAGAGATAAGTGTCTTAGTTACGTTCAGGTTGGCTTGAATTACTAACTTTTTAATGGTATTGGTGCCTCTTTTACCATTTTTTTCATTAATATAATAGAGCTAAATCATACTATGTACCCAAATATTTTCAACTCTCTTTCGATTCGATTGGACTATACTGATACATACTAATGCATGGACGTAAAGAGATTCGAACTCGCGAGCTCTTGATCAGAGACGCACGCCTATTACTGTCGAGCTAAATTCATGTTGATACATATAGAGTCTTAACTTAACTTTCTTAGTTGAAGACAACGATGAAATTACGGCTAAGCTAAACTCATGTTTAGTAGTTAAATATAAACATTAATTACATGTTAGAATTATAGCCTATATTTTAGGCTTTTTAGAAGCGGTGTGATTTCCTTTTGTCTATGACTAACCTTTTTGACTTGATGCTAAAATTACTTCAACCAACACCTTAATATCTAAATCCAAATAACTGATCATAAAGATCATAAATGAATTAAAAAAAAGGCATGTCAAAGATCATAAAGATTGAATAATTAGGCAAACCCCACGCTAAAACAATAGTCTCAATGATTAACTTCAAAATTGCCATCTCTTGGTCTTATTTACTATTTTACCGCACCTTGGATGTATCTTTGGATAAGATTAATGGAATGGATTAGGATAGCCATCAATTCATGTGGCCTCATTTATTTATTTATTTGTTTTTCAATTTTTATGGGAGAAAAGCTTCGCCACGTGTCATTGTATGGCAAAAGGGCAGGGCAGGAAGGCCCCACCTTAGCCACCCACCAAACTTTAGTATTTGTATTTTCGGGTTTAATCATGCTTAATGTGATAAAATTATGAAAATATTGATTTTGGGTGTATAGTTACAAAGTCATACGAGATAAACATTTTGAAAGAAGTTGACATCTGACGTGGATGAGATTTAAAA